ATTTTGTCTTCCTCCTTTAATATTTCCATTTAAATATTATTAGTATATGTATCTGTTTAAATTCAGAATTTCAAGAAGATTAATATTCTCTTTAATCACCTATTTTCGTCGGTTCATCTCTAACATTAATCTTTAATAAACTAATGGATTTTATTCAAAGAAAAAACACATTTTTGACAAAAATTGAAATATTAAGAATTAATGTGCTTCAAGAAAATAAGAACTAAAGTAATCACTCTTTCGAATATTAAGTGATTATTTATAAAAAAAAATTGATTCTGTCAAATGCAATGTATTTTTACCACTATATTCAGCGTTAATTGGCAAAAGAAATAATGTATTAATTCAAGTATAATTATTGGATTACAATAATCTATTTCATATATTGTTTTACACTATCGATTAAATTAATTGATCGAATAATGGATTTTTTTTGTAAGATGGTATTTTGTATTAAAAGATAAAACAAAGTAAATCATCTCAAGAATCTCGTTAAAAATCTCCCTAATACTAAATGGAGGAAAAAGAGTATACCTTAAGATGATGATGACCAATTACACACCAAGCTAACTTCACAATCAAAAACCAGCCCTACAGCAATTACACCAGCAGAACCAAATGACCAAACTAGACAAACCATAATAAGGAATATCGAACCTCAGAGGGACCAAAACATAGAGTAGACAACCAAAAAACAAAAAGCGAACCAACACCTCTAACAAAACACCAGCCGCAACCAGAGCTAGGCTAAAACAACTGGATTCAAACAAAACACAAGTGCGGAGAAACACTCGAACCTTACTAAAAACAACAACGACCAAAGATGAAGCATCATAAACTCCAAACAGATTCACAAGAGAAGTCAAACGATGGAAAACGAAAACCTTCTCATCCCTCTAAATTCCACCCCAAAGCAACGGCAACCGCTAGAGCCAACTCTGCTTCATCATATACACCTCGAACTCCCTCGTAATACACTTCATCTCTGCCTCCAACAAGATTGCGTCTACTACTAACGTTTGGCCTACCATCCCGACACCTTCGATCGAAGATTTTCCTCTTTCCAAAAATGAGCCTTGACGATGCTCTCAGACTGACCCCACACGCCCATCGTCTTCTAACTTTAGAAACTCTAGCAACACTCGAAGAACTGGGGATAATAGGCCTCTTAAGAGAGCTCCCAGTACTTAAAACGCAATTAGCTATCGGATGTTTCTCATCCAACATGAGGAAGGAAGATACCTCGTCAAAAGCCACATCAAAAATCCTAGTGCTGGTGAGGAAGGGTTGAGACACCCATGTTAGCTCCATTCCCCTATTAATATTAATTAAAACAGCACTATCGTCAATAACATGCTGCTCACGACTGCACCCCACGAAATCAGCTGCATGCTGTCCCCCTTCATCCATAAATTCTTTGACTTTATCGACATTAACATGCTCCTCACTATGCTCATTAACAGAGGAGAAAGGCACAACATGGAGCCCTGCACAGTCCACGTTATCAACTACACTTTGTCCCCCAACATCCAAGAAAACATTGTTTTCCTCGCACCTCTGACATACCAACTGTCCATGCTCTTGCGCGACAACACCCCTCACCTTACTACCTCTTGCAGCACCCACCACCTCGAAGGCGGAAGAATTTGAACCTTCTTCAACCTCAGCACACCACTCTCCATCTTCCACCTTGGTTTCATCGAGCAAGACTATCGCCTCTTCCTGCACTACAGATTGAACGATAATGGAGAAAAAATGACCTTCAACAACAATGGATAATTTGTCTGGAATAGATGAAATGGAGGGAACTTCCAGCAAAACTCTAGCAACATCAAACCTAACTCGTTTGGCAGTATCTTCATCTACCTTAATCACTCGTCCCCACAAGCATCTAATGGCGTTGAACAGCTTAACACTCCAAATCGAAGGAGGAACATCTTTCAGAGAGACCCACACTTTAAATTTAAGCCTATTATCATAACCCTCCAACAGATCCAATTCATCGAACCAGGAACGAATCCAAACATCTCTTTTTACCCAACAAGCCTGACAATCTATAACATTCTTGAATTGAATAATCAGCAAACGATCTTGCCAACAGCTAACCTTAACATCCAAACCTTCAGCTTTGAAAGATGATTTAATAACATTCTCGTTCAAATTGTGCTTAACTTTGCCAACCAAGCAACTTTGCCTCCAAGAAAGCTCACTCTTAGAGATAATAACATTCCTATTCTCCACAGAAGGAAAATAAGAAGAACTAGCTTCGCACTCATCAGCAACCCTAACATGAACAGCTGCATCGGAACCGCTATGAATCCCAACCTTCTGGCCAACAATATTCTGAACCGACAGCCCACCATCAGCCAACGCACCACCCACAACCTCTTTCGACGACCTAGCACCCTTAACAGCTGGCTTCCAAACCTTGTTACGACTGCAAACCTCCTCTACCTTCTTGCTACGACTATCCGACAGATATTCATGAAAAACTCTAATCTTAAATCCATCCAACACCATTCCATCAGCTCTCTTAACCGCCAAATTTGCTTCAAGTCTAGTTTTGAACCTAACGAAAGCAAAAGTAGAGTCCACGAATTTTCTTTTCAAACTCTTATACGCAATGAACACATCCAAAACAACACCATATACCTGAAACACTTGCTTGAGAAAAGAAACGTGAATCCTCTTGCTAACGAAATTGATAAAAATCGTGAAGCCCGAATCTCTCAAGGTTTGGGAGCACTCACCATATGAAAAATTGAAATTTTTTCAACTAATTAATATTTGAGCTAGTGACGATACCGTCAAGTTAGTTATAAAGAAGCATCATTTCTTGAATGATGTTCGACTTAGGGATGGGTATAGGATCCTAACTTGATGGATATTGATTCATCTTATTAAGTTGGATTTTTAAAAATTATTTCAAGTTTGGATTTGGGTCAAATTTTTTAGAGCATATGTTTGGATCGAGTTTGGGTTTAGACTAAAATATATCTGATCCGGTCTAATCCGAAAAATAATATAACTATACTTTATATATTTAGGGACATTTGCAATAATATTCTTCTAAGTTATTTTTTTCAATTAGATCACTTATTAAATAAAATTAATATTTTTTATAAATATATTTATTTTAGATCGGGTTCAGATTTTATCTCAAAAGACGGATCAGATTTCGGGTTGAGTGAAATCACCCTAAACTCGCATCGAGTCAAATTTTAGATGAGAGATTTCAGATCGAATCAAGTTGACCGAAAACTCAACTCATACTCTTCCCTAATTTGACCCCTTGAGCTTCATTTGCGTTTGGCCTTAACCTTCTCTATGTACAGTACTTCCTATCATGTCTGTTTCATGTAAACCCTACTTGTTTACGAGCATTTGATCATATGATATACTTAACAAATAAATAAAATTATTGAAATATATATTCATGAACTCAAATTTGTATTGATGCAAATCATATTTATTATTTTATATTAATGTCAAGTTAAAAGTATCATTTTTAATAAAAAAATGATATAATTTGAAATTTTTATTTATGAATTTTTTTTAGTGAATAAAAGTCATTATTTTCCTCATATTTATTTATATAGTTTTTAAGTATAAGTCTAATTACAATCATAATAAATATATTTATATGATTAAAAACATTATTGATTAATACAATACATAAATAAAATCATAATTATAAGTAGTACATGTAGACATTAGTTACAATTGCAATCTATAGTTTCAATGAATAAACAAATAGAGGGATAATTAAAATATATTTGAATCTATATCAAAACAAACTTTTAAATTCATACCAGTTGAAATCGGGAATAGTTATGAATTGAGTCGAGTTTTGCGTCACTCGAATTTAATTTGAGTATAATACTGGATTTAAGAAAATTCTATCGATTCTAATCAGTGACGGAACCATATTATAGGTGGGACGGGCAATGTCTCCCAACTTTGATGGTATAATTACTTTTTAAGATACTGGTAGTTTTGAAGTTATTGCAATTAAGTCCTTTTCCCCCCATAAATTTTTGGTATAATTATTTTCTAGGACATTGACAGTTTTAAAATTAATGAAATTAAATCTTGACCCCAAATTTGTCTAGTTTAACTACTTGTTAAGACCTTTGAATTTAAAATTTGTGAAATTAAATGCCTAATCTCTTAATTTTTATGGTTTATTTACTTTCTAGACCCTATTTATTTGGAAGTTAAACAACTTGCCCCCTCACAGTTCAATCCTAACTTCGTCCCTTCCCGATATAAATATGTAAAGAGATATTATAGCAATTACCCTTAAATATGTAAAGCTTAATTATACTATTATTCATGTGTCGGATCATATATTTTTCACATCGAATAAAATCAAGTCGAAATCTGTCAAATTTGTGTAACATATCAATTGTTATTAGTGTATCATATCCATTGTTAATTGAAGTACAATACAATATATGAGATAGTTGAGTTTAATTGAGTGATCTCCGTGGTTAAAGAATATTTTGTTCATTTTAGAATTTCTAATTTCGAGGAATTACATTAACAGAGTATGTGTGTTTTGTCAATGACTAAAATAAATTATGATTAGATATTACATCGTAATTACTTCATTCTATTAATATATATGAGATAGTGATTTAGGTGTTGATTTGCCAAGTGGACTTATTTTAAAGGTAGGCGTAGGTGAAAAGTAATGATACCAGACTACCGGAACCACACCTTATATTATTAAAATCTCTATCTGCCAGGTGCTATCTCTCATCTACAATTCTTAAATCATATCATAGTCAAACACAGCAACCTTAAAACTAAAACAAATCAACAAGACATTGCAATGAACAAAACAGTCGCACTTAGGTTATCCGTCGCCCACCCACTTTTTCATCCTATTCCTAGAAACTCCATTGCTCTTCACTGTTCGCCAAACATTCCTTAATCGAGTGAAAGTTCTCCCACATCCCACAGTTTTGTCTTAAAAATGAAATGCATTTACACACTCTGAATTCAGCTCACCAAATCGAACCAATTCGAGCCAAAACATGCACGCCAAGAAACGCCTTGCTATCTGCCTATCTGTCTATCAAATCCGCTTATTATAATTAACGCATTTCCCACTGATCAAATTCCCCATGCAAATTTTCCTTTTCCTTTTGTCATACTAAAACCATGATCAACCCTGTTGTGAGTTTAACTTCATCTTCCTCGTTTTCCGACGATGGTTTCGTCGGGAACTTTGTTTCTAGGCGGTTGTTTTTCTTGCAATATCTCCAGGTTGTGGAGCTGATTCTTGCTGTTTTGGTCTTTGTTGTCATACATTCGTTGGGGCAAAAACGACGTCATGGTCTCCCTGTTTGGCCATTGCTCGGAATGTTACCGTCGTTGGTGACTGGTCTCCGGTCCGACATGTACGAGTGGATTTCGGACATACTTTGCCAGCAAAATGGGACTTTCAAGTTCAAAGGTCCGTGGTTTAGTAGTCTCAATTGCGTGATTACCTCCGATCCGAGGAACTTGGAGCATCTTCTCAAGACCAAATTCTCTGTCTTCCCCAAAGGGCCTTACTTTCGTGACACCGTTCGTGATCTTCTCGGAGACGGTATATTCAACGCCGACGACGAGACGTGGCAACGGCAGAGGAAAACGGCGAGCATCGAGTTCCACTCAGCGAAGTTCCGGCAATTGACGACCGAGTCGTTGCTGGAACTCGTCCACGCCAGGCTCTTACCCGTGCTGGAAAATGCAGTTAACAAATCGACCTCCATTGACCTCCAAGAAGTTCTTTTGAGATTGACGTTCGATAACGTTTGCATGATAGCCTTTGGTGTCGACCCTGGGTGTCTGCGTCCCGGATTGCCCGAAATACCGTTCGCCAAAGCGTTCGAAGACGCCACCGAGGCGACGTTGCTACGTTTCGTCACCCCAACATGCGTATGGAAAGCCATGAGATGCCTTGATTTAGGGACTGAAAAGAAGCTGAAAAGATCGATAAAGGGTGTCAACGAATTCGCAGAACAAGTTATTCGGACAAGGAAAAAGGAACTGTCGTTACAAAAGGAAGACGAGAAGCGGAGATTGGATTTGTTGACGGTGTTCATGAGATTGAAAGATGAACAAGGCAAGCCGTTTTCAGAAGAGTTCTTGCGTGATATTTGTGTCAACTTTATACTTGCCGGAAGGGACACTTCTTCGGTGGCGTTGAGCTGGTTTTTCTGGTTGCTGGAAAAGAATCCCATGGTCGAGGAAAAAATTCTTGCAGAGATATGCAGAATTGTTAATGAAAGAGAAGACTTGAAAAACGGTGAAGAGTTAAAGAGTCCATTGATATTTAAACCAGAGGAGATAAAGAAGATGGATTATCTGCAGGCTTCATTATCCGAGGCTCTAAGATTGTACCCTTCGGTTCCTGTTGATCACAAGGAGGTAATTCGTTTATCTATATTAAATTAACCGATTGAACCGAATCGAAAATTGATCGATTCAATCATCAGCCGTTAAACCTAGTTTTGCATCTATGCTTCTTTCAGGTTGTTGATGACAATGTATTTCCGGATGGAACAGTGCTAAAGAAAGGAACAAAAGTCATCTATGCAATCTATGCGATGGGTAGAATGGAAGCCATATGGGGAAAGGACTGCCGAGAATATAAACCGGAGAGATGGTTAAGAGATGGCCGGTATACGAGTGAGTCGGCCTACAAATTCACCGCCTTCAATGGTGGTCCTCGGCTTTGTTTAGGGAAAGATTTTGCTTATTATCAGATGAAATTTGTGGCCGCCTCGATCTTGTATAGATACCGTGTGAAGGTGGTGAATGGTCATGTCGTTGCACCGAAACTTGCCTTGACTATGTACATGAAGCATGGCCTAAAGGTCAACTTAATCGAGCGACATGAATCGGAGCTTCAAGTTTACCTCAAGAACAATAATTGAGTGTATTGTTTCTAAAGAGATTGTGTTAAATCATATTGATGTAAGGGGAAGATGTGATAGTATTATTTAGTGGTATTTGGTAATATGCTTAGGATGACAGAATAATGGGATTTGGTTTATCGTTTCCAAGGTTAATCTAATCAATGATTATATACATAATAATTATATTTATACTGAGATTAAAAACTAATTAATATTAATGAAAAAAACATCCTTAAAAGAGTTCATGTTCTCTCATTTGATTCCAACAATAGACTAATACCAGCTATTCCAAAACAATGCAATTTCGAGCGAAAAAACCCGAATATCATCATCTTATACAGCGATTACTGAAAAAAAATGAGAAACTGAGTTCAAAACTCCCGGAGAACTTCCGATGAATCATTATGTAAGACTCGTGTCGTTGAGATGGTAAATCTTATACAGCGAATACCCGCATTTGATGTTGCTGTCTTGGATATATCTTAACTACAGAAATGCAGCCACTAACAGAGACGAAACAAGTTTACCTTCAACTATGAATCCACATGGGTTCCAAGGAAAGAGGTCTCTCACCCCGTGAACGGACAACAGCTGGAGCTCCGGCTGGAGGTGCATGCACTATTATGGGAAGAACCCATTCGCATCTGTCTCTTCCTTCTATTAAAAGAGGATGCTCATATCTGAATTCATAATTAAGAACAGTCATATTTTGCAACAGATGAAGCATAAATATTCTAAAATTCAATAAAACTTAAAGCATACATTACACTAATTGTATGCCATTTCAAATTCGGAGTCAAAATATAATCTCTATGTCGAAAGAAATTTCCGAATTTAGATAACAATTTACAGAGAATTTTATAATAACAGAAGGAACGTAGAATTCTACTGAAAAATCATATTATAAAATATCTATTAAAAAGGATGATAAGTTTTTGGAATGAAACCATATATACCCAGTTGTCGGAAAGTTATCACGATTACGTTAAAAAGGCAAGAAAAAGAACTTCTAAGCCATCTGATAATCTTCTACCATTAGTAATAAACTCTATCGATAAGATAGTAACTCTATTGGAGTACTACATGGTCATACCTTGTCCAGTCTACATTCTTGGGAGTAGTGAAGAATTCAAATCTTAGAACCCACTGCACCAAGACATGAGAAGTGGAAAACGACATGGGACCATCCATGGGAATAGAAAAAAGAAAACTTGTCTGTATCAAATCAGCAACAACCTCATGATGATCACTCTGGACCTACAAGAAAAATAAAGAATAAATGATGTTACCATAGTTGTCTACATATGCAGGAAAAGGATTTGGATTTTTCAGTCATGGAGGTTCACAAAAGAAACAGCTTGAAACTGCCAAGCCTGATACAAATGTATTATTCTACGTAATGTGTATTGAAATAGAATTATAAAAAACAAAATTTGACAAAAAATTATTATTTTACTCCTAAGTTTATATCTTTTCTTTTTTAGTAAAGGGATGGTTTTATTAAAATCATAAAAGGGCTTTATCAATTTGCTTTTCTGAAGTATAATTGAGTAAAACCTACTAGGAAAATGAAAGCTTTTGGAACAACGAACACTAACAAAAAAAAAGGATTCTAGCAATACAAAACTTCTTAACAACCAACAAGCATTTGCAAATGTTTCATTTACTGAGGATGCAAATGCATCAATGTGTGAGAAACAAATTATCACATATTTCATGAATGCCAAAACAGATCAAGCATGTAATTGAGTTTAATCTATGAAAATCAATATTCTAATTCACGAGTCCAATGTAATTGTAGAATCAAAATTTTGGAAAGGCATACCTTGGTAATTGTTGGGGAATTCCTTCTAGAAGGATGAACAAAACGGCGACTTATTGTCTCAGAAGTTTCCAGCGTGACTGAAACCTACAGAATGGAAATTATTCCAGTAAATTACAAGATTCATCATTCAATAGATCATGGTTTCTTTCACTTGCTTTGGTCATAATCTGCAGTACCTCAAGGCATCTTCTAGCACCTTCTTCATGAAAGAAAGTGAGAGTCCCGCCTATCTGTTATTGGAACAGATAATTATAAGAACAAGTGAAACAATGGATGCAAATTCATTGAAGGAGACAAAAGCTATAGCCTAAAACTGATTTTACCATATCACTGAAGTAATAAGTGGACTCAGAGTTCTTAGGGGAAAATCTTAGCAAAACTTGGTCGTCCATCCTGATATTATATGACCTTCCTCGAATAAAGCCTTCTGCTGCAGAAAATATTGGTAACAAATAAGTTTACCAGGATCCGCATATGAGAGAGCTCAAGGCTTAGATTCATGCCTCACTAGCAACAAACAGAAAATAAACATGGGGGCAGAAGGTCTGGTGCTTTACATGCTAAAGGTTCAGTAGCTCCTGGGCTGGCTGCAGAAGGTACTCCAGTTATCTCATTTCCAGCTAGTGATTTTGTGGAAGCGCGCTTCTGTCTTGGAGATATGGCTGATGATATGTCTGCAAGAAAAGATCTACTTCAAAAGTCATTCTAAGAACCCGAAAATATATTTTGGATAAAATGATTAGTAGTATTGCTTCAGCAGGTCTGCTTAAAAACTTAAAAGTTACCACAACAATCTAACAGAAAACAAATACATGAGAGCATAATGACAAAAGGAGGGAAACAAATTCAGAACACATAGAACACCATGTGATAAAGTATAATGCAATTACCATCACTAGAATCTTGTAAGACCTCTGCTATTGATAACCGTGAAAGCCCTACATTTGAAGATAAACTCAAATGGTCTCCATCATGATACGGACCATCTCTATTTGAAGATCTGGCTGCTGACGATTGCAACGATAGGGAACTCAAGGTTTTATAAATATGTTCCTTTGAAGGATTAAAGGATGAAACAGAAGATATTTCATCCCTTGAGCTCTCATACCCTTCCTCAATACTGTCATACAGGTCACTCACTCTAGCCTGTAACAAAATTTTTCAGTTATCATTAGACTAAAAGAGCAAGTCAAAAAGCATTAGCACCTAGCAGCATTACTAACAGCCTTACCCATTCTGAATCTCCATCAATCTCTTTCCAGTATATATCCGTTTGGATTGTTGTAGCAGGAACAATAACTGAGTCATAAAAAAAACAAAAGTCGTTTTGCTATATTCTGATATGCAGAGTATACTGGTCCCATCACAAACTATATTTGAGAGTGCAAACGATGACTTCTCAACTGTGCTCCAAATTTCAAGTCATAGCTACTTCAACAAATTCAGTTCAGACTTATTTAATTTCTTCCTCGTTCCAAATCCCAGCTACGTTAACTGGACTTTTCATTTTCCTAAAGAACTCATGTCAGATACTTGTGACTGACACATACATTGGCATGGGTTGTGATCCTCCAAATATAAATGAAACTTAGAAAAAGGTTGAGCATAACCATATAAGGCACATGTATTCAATACTCATCCCAAGTCAAGGTAACATAGAATTCAAGAATGAAATGTTTTATTGTTCAAGTTATAACATTTATATCCCAAAACTTAGTGAAAATTCTCGACTACCAAAACATAATCATCTTAAAGAAAGCGAAAGTCACCACCTAGAACTTGTCAATTATTACACGAAATTCAATAATTAGAAAAGATATAGAGAGGTGGTAGTAACAATGATGGCAAACTTGAAATATGGCAACATACCATCACTTTGACCATCTTCCATCCCCAAACCATTTCCTTTCTGAGTTACCCATACTTGCAAAGGGACACGAGCCTCCTGTTGGGATCCAAAGTTCATAAATATCATCTCTAAACACTATATGCAATTTGGTGAACTAGATTCGGACACCAACAAGTTCAACCCAATTCCAAGATCCACAGATCTGCATGAGAACAAATGCAAAGAAACACATGCATATATGTGCCAAAATGTCCATATGTGCATAGTTATGGTTTGACATATTCAACAATAAGCCAGATATAACAGGGCAAATTGGTAAATTGTCTTCAATGTTACATAAAAGTGCACAATGTAAAAAGCATAAAAGCCTGAAACTTAACAGAATTTCTATTTTCAGGAGCACAAGGCCTATCAGCAAGTCAAACACGTCTAATTCTGAAAAACAAGAACAGAAGATGATTTGGGGATCCATAATAAAAACCATGAAGATCAAGTAAAACCAACCACTTCAGTAAGATCTTCTACTGAATCCTTGCCGGAGTGACCATTTTCCAGTATCAGCCATCGAACAAACATTGTACTCTTTATATAATATAAATAACGAATGGTAGAACCCTTGTAAGATGGTGGTATGACGCTAGGAAGCACAGCCCGTACCAGATCTGCATATCAGTGTCAAAATCAGTTACAGAAATGAATCTTGTTGAATCAGACTAATGAAATAATAGTATGGTGGAAAGCTGCAACATTTAACAACAGCAAGGGTTAACAAAATACTATAAACCAAAAAACACAAGTGTTCAATTCAAAACATGCATTACTGGACTGCCACTGTCACACAATTAGTTATGCTGACAGTTATCAATAATGTAATTTAGATTTCATCTCGGAAATCACATTTCTGCATATTTATCCTCTTTTTCTAATAAGATACTCAGCACTTGAACTTCTGTTTTTCTCTTGGATAAAATTCATGCTTCTAACTAAATAGTATTCTCTCTCTAGCAATTCAATGAACTGAATGAAGTATTATTCCAGACGGTAATTTCATTCAACAATTTTCAATGAGCAAACCAGGGTTTGACCAAAACATGATGACATACAGTCATTGAGACAGCATGGCCAGTATACAGAAACACTCATCAATAGCATATTTACATATTGCGATGAAAATTCTTACACCGCTGCACTTAAATATATCAACTAAACCATTAGACAAAGGCAAGAAATAGACTAACAAGTTTTTGCAGAGCCAGATGGCACAATCTGATTCGCAATGATTGATTGTGTTGAACAGTCCAAAAAAACATGTTCACCTGAAAAAGATTGAGAGCAATAATATACATATATGAATACAAAATATTTAAATTAAAACTAAGAAAGAATAGAAGGGCATCGCTACGATATGATCTTTTTCTTTTCTTTCAGGTATCAATCTCAATTCTATGCATATCCCTGTAGAAAAAGTAAGATAAAAGTAGACTAAAGTGGCCAATATAAACAAATTACATGAACGCTAAAAGTTGAGAAGAAAATGAAAGATGATGCAAATTTAAAAAAAACTCCTTTTTACTGATCTAAATTTTTTTCCTCGTGGAGACATAGGAATTCTGAATTCCATCTCTTTAATATTCATACCAAGTAAAACAAAAATTTACTTGCATTCCTTGCTTCTTTTTACTATCCAATAAAATTATAATTGAAATTCAAGTAATTGACAAACTAAATGATCAATAAATACATTTAGTTCAGCACATATGCAGTATACTAACCTCTCCTTTGCTTTGTTCCTGACAATGGTTTTTGGGTGGCAAACCATTGAGTGTCCAACTTCTCAATCCCTTTGACTTCGAAGCCAAGCTTTTCAATCAAAAGAGAAGGTACAACACTACCAGAATAGTCACTGGTAAGAGGATTGCAGATCTCAATTGTAACATAAACAGAATCTCCAGGTCTATATACATCTCTATCTGTCTGCAGTTTTAGTGTCGGATTCAATCCCTTTTTATCACCTTCTTCAGAATTACCTTTATCAGATCCCCCACCTCCAAACAAAGAAAACCTGGACGGCAACATTGCCTCTAAACTGTTTTCATTAATCTTTATGAAATTCTTTGACAGTGTCTAAACCTGCAAAATGCATAGGAAATATGAAATTATACATTACTTTACCGAGCACACGAACTGCTTAACATAGAGGACGAATAATCCGAAACCTAGAAGCAACTAATTAGCTGTTCTGTTTGGCGTACAAATTTTAAGAAAGGCAAATTTGAATCATTTTCTGTTCCATTTTCTCGTGAATCCAACGGAAACTAAATAACTCTGTTAATATAATGTGAAAAATTCCATAATAAAACAAATTATGACCGATAAACAGAGAGATCCATTTTGAAGATCCGATCAGGGAAAAGATTAGATCGCGTTGTAATTGAGATTGCTAAAAAAATAAACTGTATATGGTAAAATAACGAATGGATCACACGCACCTGATACAACTACAATGACATGAATTGAAAGAAAAATGGAGAAGATCTGACCTCAATCTCTAACCACCCAAGCCAGATTTGAAACCCTAATTCCCTTACCGTTTGGTTGATGAAATAAAATGGAAATTAAAAAAATATATGTTTTCAATTGAAATCTACTCGGCTGTTAATTAACAGAGGCCATTGCAACAGTACGGATGCATAAATCAATTTTGGCTAGAATCTTCGAAGTGTTCCTACGCTTCTCAAAAATTTTTTTATTAAAAAATGCACTCCTTTTATTGGGTCAAGCACACCATAGGTAGTTGAACTCCGCTAAAATAATATTTTTAGTCATCATACTTTCAAATATTACAAAATAATCATTTCATTTATCAAACTACATAAAATGATATCTATGATGTTATAAATAGTAATAAATTTTGATAATCTTAATTATTATTTTATAATATTTTGATGATTTTAGTGATCATTTTGTAATGAATTGATAAATTTAATAATTATTTTGTAATTATTTGAAAGTTTAATAGCCAGTTTGTAATATTTGAAAGTTTGTTGACAAAAAATATTGTTTGACATAGTTCAGTGACCTTTAGTGTACTTTACTCATTTCTTTTAGCATAATGACGTAAAATGACATTAATGTTTAACTAAATAATCACTTTGGCTTACATTCTTTTTTTTTTAACATTTGACTCCAAAGTTTTATTTTGGGCAAAAAGTTTCATCATGCAAATCGTTAGTTAACAAACAATCATCGCTATAAAATAGGGGCATTCTTTCCCTAAAATGAAACATTAGATGCTAAAATATTTCAAATAAAAAATAATAATGACTAAAATGACTATTTAGTCAAAATCAAGGTTTTTGTTCTAAAATAAAACTTTTAAGAGCCAAAGTACCTAAAAAATAATATAGGCCAAATGACTATTTAATCAAAATTTAGGGAAAGTGACATATTCAAAAATATTTTTTTTAAGGTTGACACATATATTAACAATATAAAAGTTTAGCTTAAATGTATTATTGCTCCCTAAATTGTCCCATTTGTACTGAATTGTCCCTAAAGTATTTTTCGGGACATTTTATCCCTTGAAATTTAAATTGTTACTTTATTTTCCCCAAACCATTGACACAGTTGAAAAACCCAAGGGTAAATTACATATATAGTCAGTTAACTATTCTGACAGTTTTGTTTTGGTCACTCAACTATTTTGTTTTCTCAAAATCATTACTAAATTTAATTAGATTGCTGCTTTTGATTACTCCTGCAGTCCTAACGCAATTGTTGGGTTGAAGGAAGTATAGACAACTTACATTCTAGTAGAAAACCATTACAGAAGAACCAAATTCTTAAACTTCGCTTTGTTCCTGTTATAGGAACAATCTCAATAGTCAAAAGAATTGTTCGAGACAAAACATATCGATGATGTTTTTTTTTTCATTTTACGGTGGCACCGACAGTCCTTCATTTTTGGTCAGTTCTTAGATTTACCAGAATGAGCAATGCATGACCAAGTGATCATTTTATGGAATTAGCTTGAAACTTCTTGCTTTGTTTCACTTGTAGAACACACCAAATCGAAAAGTTTGTATTTTAATTTATCGTTCCAATTTTTGTCACTTGACCCGACTTTGAGCTCCCGACGGTTAACATATCCACCACCACAAGCTTTTCTGTCAACCGATGAATATTAATGGCATTAACTTAATTGTTGCCTCGAAAGTGGGTTTTAATATACATTAAAGAAATGCATGGCTGATTTTGTTACCTGAGTGATACGACGAGAAACGGTGTCTTGGAGGTTATATCCGTTCCTACCAACTGATGCCCATTGCCCTCCATCCTTACTGCGTTTCCATATGGTTTCCAAGCCAACATATATATTAGCACGATTGCAGGCCTGCATGTATGTTTGTGTGAAATATTACGTGCTGCTTACCCAACAACAAAGAAAGAGTAACCATTGAGATGCCGACTCTGTACGATGTTTTCGTTGTTTTGTAATACGATCTCAACCAAAGCCCTATAATCAGCATTAGAAGAAAAAAAAAGTGTCAAGGTACAGAAAGCTGGCAATATTAAAATTTTAACACTAAGTTCAAAAGAATAAAAGCGCAGTCTCTATCTCGATTCATATTTAGTGATGATTTTGAGAAAACAAAATAGTTGAGTGACCAAGACAAAGCCGTCGGAATAGTTGAGTGACAATTTATGTAATTTACCCGTAGTTTTTTTAACAGTATTAACAGTTTAAGTTTCAGGGATAAAACATTTTAAAAATACTTTAAGGAGTAACTCGATACAAATGATATAATTTAGGGGGCAATGATGCATTTAAGCCTAAAATTTTTATATTAACTAAACACAAATAAAATTTTAGAATAAATACAATTAATAAAATAAATGAATAATAAAAACCATATTTTAGGTTGGTACGATCCATAAATCTGATAGTGATTAGGGATTTTTTAGCTTTATGTTTTTATTTTTAATATTTGATTTGTTAATTAATTATTATTTTTATGAAAATTACTATAATATTATAAAATAATTTTGTTAGTTTTTATTGCTTTTATGATTATTTAATATACTAATTTATTGTTTTTGTTTTAATATAAAAATAAATGTTCAAACTATACATTTTTTCACTTTATCGTTAAAATATTTTTCTCACCGTATTAGGTGAACGATGCGTCATAATCGTTAAAAAAATTGTCCATCATTCATCACGTTTATAAAATTTTAAAAATTTTGTTTATTTAAAAAAAAAACTAAAACACTGAAATCCCTAATTCTAAACCTATTTTACCAACCATCACTGGTTGTCATTGCTGCTGTCGTCTTCGAACAATCATCCAATCATTATCGATCCTCACGTTGTCGTTGTCATTCGCTAAACCCCCAAAATGGATAAAAATGTGTGTCCCCTTCTAAAGCATCGGATCGGGTTGTCTGTAGATTTTTGGCCTTGTCCATCGATATCACATTTGCCAACCTTGTACTTAGAATAAGGATACTCCCATGCTCCAAGAAATTATCGTCAAAGAGGATAGCATTCGGTCTTCCAAAGGTTCCAACATATCACTGGAAAAAGGATATTCCAGTTTCAAATTGTGATCGCATGATTACCTTGTTTACGCATATTTTTAGAGAGTCGTTCTTCAAAAGGCGTAAAGTCATCCATCTTATCCCTACAAATCATGCTATTTCAGTTCTGTTCTCGCCTTCCCAAAGTGGCAAAGCATGTGATCGATGTCCTCCTCCTCGGCTTTACAAATTCGACATAACTTATAAGATGCCATGTGTCGATGGACGCCCTCAATATTAGTCGTATAATGCTATACAAGATGAAAAACTAGTCGTGGGGGAAAAATGGCACAAACGTTTGTTTTTTATTCACCTTCTCAGAACAAAGTTGGGTGTAAATGGGTCGACAGAATCAAGCACAAAGCTGATGGCTTCCTTAATCTATAGAAAGTTTATCTTGTCAATAAAGATAAATTGAAGGGGCTAATGGAAAATTTTAAATTTTCATATAATTTAATTTTTTAGTAATTTTTTTATAATTGTATAAATTTATCCCTTGATATAAAATCTGATGTAAGATTCTTATTTATAGGTAAAGGTTTCAATTAACGTCCACGACTTTGTTTCAGTAAAACCTTCGTCCCTGTAGGCTATAGTTAAACCAACAATGATTCAGCTCTTAAACTTCAAGCGGTTGCACTCTTAAAGCTCATGGAATATAATAATATATTCAATCAATTCGATTGATTTGAGGAATCTATCCTATGACCTGGATCTCGTTGGCGTGGAAGATCCGACAGGCTGTCAATATCAACAGCCACTCTTTGTGCACCATCATCAGATTCCATGATCCGCGACTTTGCTTTATAAGTTTTTCCATTAACTAAAAAATTGTTTGTTTTTTCTTTTATAAAAAATGTAACAAAAATTGTCATTGAAGTCATAATTTTGATTTCCGAAAACTAAGTTTTTTTAATTAATTTTTTAATTCTTTAATTAATTATTAATTAATAATAAAATATTAATCTGGTAATTAAGTAAATTTATATAATAATACATTTGATCTTTATTATTTATATATTTAATTAATTCAGTCTTGAAATAAATTATTTTTAAATTTTAATTAAGATAATATCATATTTAAATTTTTTATTTTTTTATTTTTAATTTAATCTTACTTTTAATTAAAATAATTAAATAAATTTAATTTTTCAATAAGATGATAAGAGTTGAGAGATTAGTATTTAACCGATACGTCAAGGTGGGTTTTTGTTCCAATTTTCGATTATTAAAATAAAATCGAACTAATGATTTAATAACATTGAATAGTTTAAAAAAAATACATATGCTTAACAACAATTAAAGGAAACAAACATTTGTGTTAATTTATAGATGGAATAATGTCAGAGAAAATCATCCGATATTTATTAAATATTTTATTTTATTTTGAGAATTTGATTATAATATTTAATTTTCAGATAAAAACTTCTAACGATTGATTAAATAATCACTTTAACTCATATTCTTTTCAAATATCATTTTAGTATCTAACATTTCATTTTATGATAAAAAATTCTATTTTGGATCGTTGATTATTGGTTGTCTAACAATTTTTATTTACAGATTGATCTTTTTATCTCAAAATAAATATTATGACTGCAATATACTAAAAAATAAGAATCAAAATGGTTATTTAATTAAAATTTAGAGATATTTTTTATCATTATACTTTTATAGATTTCATCATTTTAATAACTTATATTTTTTTGTTCCATATCTTTTTAAAATATTTTGATTATAAAGTTTCATTTTAAGATAAAAATACCTCTAAATTTCGAGTAAATAATTACTTTTAATCCTTTTTTTATGTATTTTGATCTTCAACATTTATTTTATAAAAAGAATAATGCATTGATCGTTTTGTTTTTATATATATGAAGATACTAACTTTTTTACCCATTTTTATTTTATTATTATAATTATTATTATTATTATTATTATAATTATTATTATTATAATATATTATTATTATTATTATTATTATTAAAAAAATAATAGTTACAAACCCAAATCCCAGGCCCAACCGGAACCGGCCCAAACCCAAAAGGAAACCCTAAACATTTGTGGTTTCAGCTAGGGTTTCTAAACCCTAGCTCTAGTCGCCGCCTCAATCTCAGCCGTTGGATCTGAGAGATCCAACAGTCCAT